ATATATTATTTTTAAAAAAAAAACCAAATCGCAGTGTTGTGCTCGCTGGAGAGCTGAGCGTTGTCGCTGGGCTTGATTTCCGCCCCCACCTCCAAGCTTAGGGCAAGGGGCGGCTGCCAGGTCGTTTGCAGGTCACAGCCTTCTGTGGTTAAAGCTGAAAGGTTTTCCCCCATCCATCCCTCCCACCTGCCCTAAAGGAGAAATGTAGACTCCCCCCCCCAGTTCATTTTATAGAATCTTAAAGCTTGCTCCAAAGCACTGCACGATGGAAACCGTAGCAGGCTTAGCAACAGGTAAATTAAATGACAGTGATAACAAAGAAATGGACCAAAGCATGGCCATTGCTCTGCGTTGTTCAGACCCAAGCTCGGTGAGCTTGAGCGTTACAGGTGAGGAGACCTTTTTTTCTCAGCAGTTTTTCTAGGGAGATGAGCAAAAGCAGTGTGAGTTGGCCGCTTTCCCTTTTTGCTTAAAAGAGTAGGCAGCAGACGTCAGCTTCCAGGTACGGCAGACCTGTAGTATAGTTTAGGTAAAATGAAACGCATAAAAATAAATGGAGGTCAGGCGGAGCTTACTGGTATGAGCAGAAATGCAGTTTGCACAGTTTTCTTCTAATTTGAGGGTGTTTTGTGATGGAAGGCAAGGCAAGGACAGACACCCATCATTATGCAAAATAGCAACAACTTACCGCTGTCAGGTGTCAAGTACAGGCACTTTGGGGTCTGTTCAGGTGAACTGAGTTGTGTTTCTCCTTTCCCTGCTACCTAATATTGCACACAGTTATCGTATATCCATATCCATACCGAGCTCTTTCTGTCTTGAATGACAGCTCTCAAAACCTTGCTTTGCTCTTTCAGATTTGAGACCGGTCCAAGTTCCTTTCTTGCAGGTGCATGTGTCAAGAAGGGATCCCAGACAAAAGCTGTCCCTTTGAAGACTAAAGTTCAAGTTTAAATTACGTCTTCTTTTAGTGACTTTTTTTAATTTAGGAGTCTTTCATTTGTCCGTATTTTCTGCTTCTCTTTTTCCCTTTCTCATTAGGGAAATACGTTCTAATGAGAGGAAATGGAAGTGTTAGAGGTGTTTTCTATCTGTGAACTTGTAACATTAAACCTTAGTACATTTTTTTTTAAGTCCTAACTCTGATCTTTATTGTACTTACCGTATTTACTTCTCTCCATAGTGTCCAAAAATCAACATGTCTAGCAAAAAGGCAAAGACGAAGGCCACCAAGAAGCGCCCTCAGCGTGCCACTTCCAATGTATTTGCCATGTTTGATCAGTCGCAGATTCAGGAATTCAAGGAGGCCTTCAACATGATCGACCAGAACAGGGATGGCTTCATTGACAAAGAGGACTTGCACGATATGCTCGCCTCCCTTGGTAACGTCGCTTTTCTGTTGATGGTTGCCAGGCAAATTGGCACTGTTGTAATTAAAATACTGAGTTTGGGATAGCTTACGAGAGGTGTCTCAGTTTGTATTACGCTATTCAGATTACTTTTTCTTTTTGTTTGAAAGCTAAAGCAAATACGAATCGCTTTATTTGTAGGGAAGAATCCAACGGATGAATACCTAGATGCCATGATGAATGAGGCTCCAGGCCCCATAAACTTCACAATGTTCCTGACAATGTTTGGTGAGAAGTTAAATGGCACCGATCCGGAAGACGTCATCAGGAATGCTTTTGCGTGCTTTGATGAAGAAGCAACAGGTATGTGGGGGAAACTCGGCCGCTTGGCAGGGGGTGTGGAGGGCTACTTTTATGTTGTTCATGCTGATTTTTGCACCTTTATAAACGAAGTATGACACAGTAAGCCACCTAGATGGCATGTTCTACCAAGTAATAAGAATTTGACTTATTACTGAGTGAGAGTAAAAACTGTCTGGCTGTTCTGCGTGAGACCCGAGGGCTACTAGTAATGTTCTTCTGTGAGGCTTTGAAGAAGGGTTTTTCAGCTGGAAAGCGTGTATGTTCCTCAAAGTGCAAAATAAGATGCATTTGCTCTACGAAGATGAGGAATTCACACTGGTAGTATGTGATTTTCTATGACATTGAAAAGGTAATGGATGTGCAATCTGTAATCCAGCTGAGTTTGCCCTCCCCCTGCAGTAGATCTGAGATGCATCGGAATTCTTCCATGTTTTTAATATTTCAAGACAGGCTGTCCAGACTACGTAAACTGTTTTGAACCCTCATCTTGCCTACTGTATGTTATGGGTCTGATGACAAGTGCCATGTGTCATGCCCTCACACGCAGCTCAGTTTGCTTTCAGGTTGCAGGAAGGGCTGTAGCCTGAATGATCTAAAGATAAAAACCGGGTGGGGTCTAGAAGGCAGAAATGACAGATTGGACTGAGCAAGATAAGGGGAAAGATGAAAACGCAGAGCTCAGTTTTACTGCATCAGGCTTTCAAGGTTGCGCCTGTAATCTTAAGGTTAGAGTTTATGCTTTTATTTATTTATTCATGTAGGCTAAGATTCTGGAGAAGTGTGTAGCAACCAGGGATGAATCCTTCGTGCAGTTCTGTGTAATTACAGAATATCAGTGCTTCAACATGTTGTGAACACATCTTGCTAGTGCACGCTGAAATTATATAGCCTCTGTACTGGAGGTGTCGCTGCACCTATAACTTTGCACACAACTGTCCACCACAATATTTCAGCCTAACCTGTGGATATGTGTTCTGAACCTTTCAAAGGACATTATCCCATTTCAAACAGCTATTTTCAGTCCGTGTATTTT